AGATGTGTTATAAAATGAAGTGTAGATTGTTGAAATGTTACTGTACCTCTCTTAAACCAAAGCGGAACTGACGTAAATTAAATCCATCATTAACCGCCACAAAACACATTGGCCGAGGCCGATTTAAGGTTGGAAGGGGAACAATCGGCCCACCCTCCATTTTTCTAAAATAAAAATGGGTGAATAAAGAAAATTGCATCAAAATTTAAGTTAGAGAGTGCCATATTTCCCCGCCACTTGGACGCACCATAGACATAACATTAGCTCCAATAGTGGAGTTGTAGTGGAGATGTAGGTTGGCGGTTAATATGCTTGTATTCCAATCACGGGGCCCTGGGTTCAAATCCTGCGACAGCAAATAATTTTTTCTCACGACTAAGGAGTAGTCTTCAAAGTATCACTTTTTTTTAATTTATTTAAGAGGGCTCTGAATGTGTAGGGTAAGATGGGGTTACTCTTTATAGGCCTAATTATAGTTTTTGAAAAAAACACTAGGCCTATGGTGTAGCGGATTCCTTTATTTTCTTGATATAACATACATATTTTGAATTTAAAATGCAATTATTATGATTTTAATCTCTATCAGGAAATAATGTGAATAATTTTTTAGCATTGAAATGAAGCGTGTTCTGTGCTGTTCACAATATTTCCTGTATTATCAAAGGCTATATTATACTGCAACTTTATACCCTTTGATAATACAGGAAATGAAGGTGTACTGTGCTGTTCACAATATTTCCTGTATTATCAAAGGCTATTATACTGAAACAAACTTTATACCTCCATGCAGAAATTGATTACTTAACCAGGAGGTAGATTCGGTCGACTGGTGCATACTATCTTTTCCGGCCACAATGGTTATTTATTCATTCATACGTTAAATTCACAATCCTCTTTTATTGTTTATTGGCGCATACCTGGAGACAGCTGTATTATGCGCCTTATAAATCCATTGATTGAGTGATTAAAATCATTAGCCCTGTTTTTGACAAAATAATAATTTGTAAAATCAGGCATGCATTGCTATGTGTTCATATATATATTTTCATATCAAGAATGAACCATATTTATTCTTCATAACTTTTGTGTTATAATAAATAAATATACTTTTAGAGAATCTAACGTTACCTCGCTACCTTTTTGATTTTTTTGTTAACTTTCTTTAAAAATAAATAATCTTCTATGTTAAACAATTCTTTCATCTGGAGCATCATCACGGACAGTTTATAACAATTATTGCATAAAAAGGAAAGTGAGTAATATTATTAGTAACGATATTACTCACTTTCCTTTTTATGCAATAATTGTTATAAACTGTCCGTGATGATGCTCCAGATGAAAGAATTGTTTAACATTATAATTATCTGACCTGTTAGGCTTACATATTATTGTTATGTATAAGTTTGTATTTGAATGTACAGTATAAACAAAGAAAAATCGTTGTAAAAAACATGTAGCAGGTTTAAATATTGTCCACACTTAAATCGACATATTGAGAACTTCGTTATTAAAATTATTCTATTAACCATTTTAAAACACAAATCATCAGTATTTATTCAAAGATAATATAACAAGTTCACGGTTTCTATATTTTTTAGTGCTAGCCACGATGATCTTAAACTAACACCAGAGTGCCAGTGGCTTGACTTTATGAAACTATATAACGTGCTCAATGTAATGAAGTTCACCTCCGTGGCAGAAGTTAAACTATGTTCACCTTCAGTAATTGCTATTTTCAGCAATTGCTATTTTGTCAAAAATTATTCTACAAGTTAGATAACAATAAACCAATTCGCATGCCCTTATCAATCGACGTACATAAATAGCTAATAATTGGTACCGGTATATAATCTTTTTTTTTTTTAATTTGAAAGCTTTTGTAAAAAAAATAATAAATACACATTTTTGACGCAATTGTTTTTTCAAATGGGCATTTTGCAATAACTTTCTTGTATTACTTTCCTATTGAAATCTCGACTTTTTTCTCTAAATTAATAATTTTGTAATTGCAATTACATTTTTAAAAAATATTTTGATGTTGAATACTGACTATAATGATTCTAATTGAAATTTCATAAATGATATTAAAATGTTTGATTCAATTTCTTGCAATAATTGTGATTTTCTCAATGTTTTTGGTGTTTTCATGCATTTTTATCTTTTTGACATGTTTTTAATGTGTTCTATACTGATTTTTCAGTACCATTACTTGTTTTATCAGATAATAATCGCTAAAAGTTAGTTTCAATTTAATTGAAGCCGTTATCTACTCACGCGTTTCCCATAATTGCAGTCTCGTGTGGTTCCTATTGTTCTTGTTTTTAAAATTTGTATGGATATAAAGGTATTGCCCACAGACCCATTTTAGTGAGCTTTGTAACCTTCAAAATATTATATAATAAATAATTAAATAGTTTTTAGTTGAAATTTTAACTGGTTGTTATACCGTCATTAATCAGAAAAACTGCATCTTTAAACCAGACAGTTTACTTTACAGATGTAGATATTGAAGTGCCCATCATTGCCTTTTTACGGCAGACGCTCCTGAGGTTTTGTTGTTTGACAATAAATGATTAGGCCTATGCGGTCACAAATACCGTCCCATAAAACATGCTCGATGTGATAATGACGATGATTATAATGATGACAATGATACTGACGAAATAATGCACAACCCTTACTGAACTTACCTCAAATCGTTTAGAATGGTAAACAAATGTTCCATAATGTTTAGGTAAAGAAATGTTAGTCTCAACTCTCATTTTAATGTTATTTTTGAAAAAAAATAGGCCTTATTTATGTTAATTATAAGAAACAAATTTGTATTATATTTTCCCATGACACAAGCATTAACAGAAATTGGGTCATTCTGCTTTTCATTTATACTTAATCTACAGTATATACCGAGACCTTTTCAATGGTAATCCACAGGAAAGGCCTCTGAACAAGAGGGTATCATACGATACGCTATTTAAAAAACATATATTAAATATTAATGTATTGAATCAACACAACATGAACAAAAATGTGTTTATTTAGTTTTAGTTTTTTAATTTTCTTTATAAAAAAACAATACATACTTAGCAAGTAGACATACTTTATCAGTTAATATGAATCATCGATATCATTATTAACCTTTCAAAAATCTTTTAGTTTTTGTTTTTTATTTTCTTTATAAAAAAAACAATACATACTTAGCAACTAGACATAATTCATCGGTTAATATGAATCATCGATATCATTATTAACCTTTCTAAAATCTTTTGAAAAGAAAAAACAAGTTCTCGTTCTTTGAATAATAATGTAGTCTCATAAGCGAAGCGAATATGAAGGAAAATACGAAAATGTATGACTAGTGAGGAATGTACATATAACGTCAAAGATGATTGACTCAGAATCATAGTAAACGATATGAATGCCAGTCAATACGAGCAGATGATAATTTTGATGCCAGTTCGAGGCCATGTCGGTTCAAGCAGAAGCGCTTAGTGCGACTTACAAGGGCGAATTTATCCAGAACATAACATTGTTTATTTTTAAATTGTTTTAATGCTGCTAAAATGCACTGTGTAACTAAGGTTTTGAAAGGTTTTTGGTACTTTTAGTAATTATTCCATGTTTTTAATTACAATATTGGCAAATCTGATTACAAGATCGTGCTCCCGCCCATTATGATACAAAATATTAGGTCAAATTTTCAATTCATTCATTTAGTGGTGTAATGGAGTCAGGAGTCTTGAACTGGGGAGGGATGCGTGAAGGTGAAGAGCTCGAAAATTAAGTAAAGGGGCGCAAGCTCACAAAATAAGATGATATATCATAAGATGATAATCCGCTTGAGCTAGCATTCGCTCGAAGTGGCGATCGCTCGTATTTACTGGATCCCAGCGAGATAATACCATTCTAATATACACATGGTGTTACCTACTGTGTCAGACTATAACTTGAGCAAGTGTTTAAACTAAAATTAGTTTTGAATAAATTACTTTGTTGTTATTCCTCGCCTATTAAATAAACTAACGTGTTCATTGGTTATTATCGATGAAAGTCTCACACAGGGATGGTGATGATGCAAATGTTGTTGAAGAAAATAATATTAAGATTATGACAATGATTCATGATTATGGTTAAGAACAAGACATTGGTGATGTTGCTCTATTTACTGTTAATTATGTTGTTGACGATGACAACGATGATAGTGATAATGATTATAGCAATAGGCCTGATAGTAATGCTAATTGTTCCTACAATGATGGCCACAGAATCCACACACAAAGGAATTTAACTTGTTTGTAAAAATAAAACTGAATTTTCGGTGCACTCATAACAATAACAAGTTGACAATCGTGTAACAATATTAAGATAGTACACTGGAGATAATAAAACAAGACCCAAGAGGGAATCGTAGATCCAATGCAAGGAATGTAGGCCTACTCGTACGATGATTGAAAATTCTAGTAGAGTAGTTAGTACATGTTTTTCTTAAAACCACATGGAAAAGTGCATGTTTGACACCAACTGTAACCATGATGATTTTAAAGTGCGTTGGCATAACTGGTGCACACTTAAAAGGAAAGTAATCTTGTAATCTATTATATGTCTAATAGTTTTGTAATCTATTATATTATTAATTAGAGGTATGTTTGAATAGTTACACTGTAAAGTTTTGATTTAAGTTTGATTTTTTTGCAATGTAGCAGGACATGGATTTTTATTTGATGGTGGAATAAATAACAAAAAAATTGTTTTGGTAAAACTTCAGACGACGAAAAAAACTAACGATGTTCAGAGCTTTGGTCCCAGTCTTTGTGTAGATTATCCTAATATACTGTCTAGTATTATTAATTTTAACTAGTATTATTAATTTTAACTAGTAGGAACTGGTATTAGCACATAATTAGAGATTGTTTTTCAGTTAATTCCATGTGAGCATGTCAACTACAAACCCGGCCCGACAATTTACCTCTTTGATCTGATGTACAGCAGGCATGTTAGTGATACTAAATGTCTATTCATTATACACAACGAATGATTCCTACACCCCCCCCCCCCCCCCAAAAAAAAAAAGAAAAAAAAAAAAATAATCAGGCAGGTGGGGTTAAGTTACCCTGTTCAGCTTAAATATTCATCAAAAACACAATTGCAAAATTAGGGATCAGTCACCTGTCAGATATTTAACTACAATTCAGAACCAACGTATGAAACTCGGCGTAGCACGCAATGCATTACATACATACAGTCCATTACAATGCATAATATGCTGCGAAAATAAGAACCAAAAATGAAAGTCCATAATACTTTGATAAAGAGTTTCTGTTATCAGTGATTGGTTGTGGTACTTTAAGAGCCTGTCCCCTTCAAAATAAACTACTTTATATAATGATCTGTTCTTTTAAGTGAGTGGCTCGCTATTGTACTATATAGCGTAAACAATAACCAACATACAATACTTTCCATAATGGTAGCTATACTTGTTTTATAAAGCTAATGAATCAACTAATTCATTAGCTTTTCTCAAAAAAAATGTACAAGATTTTCTTCTGTTATAATTTCTATATCTTTTCTCGCATAATCATCACAAAAAACAAAAATCATCATGAAAATGAAAAAACTCCAAAACAAAATACAAACACAAACAGTTTGTAGTAAGTCATCTCAATAGCGTTTGTTCCATTTCTCTGTGTGCGGTACTTCGTACATGGTTGAGAACATCTTTCGGTGAAATAAATGTATTTTGGCACAATTCACAAGAAACCGGTCTGTCAAAAGGTATGCTTGATCTGCAAAAATTGAATAAAAGATTTTCTCTATTATAAGTTAAAAATGACAAAAAATAAATACATGGATTATAGAATTAACACTGCTATTTCTATATGTTTCTGGATATGTTATATAAAATTGACAACACAAATTTGTCCTACAGAGCATTGTACAAAGCAGGAACATAAAAATCTTAGAGATCACTGAAATACAAAATTTGTGGAAAAATTTAGATAGGTCGAATAATCTATTTAAATCATGAAAAAGTTACTTAAAATGAACGGGGACAAACAAAAATAAATTATAGTAAACAAAAGTGCAATTGAAGTGTGGCATGTGCCACGTCAGTTTAATTTTGTAATGCGTAAGTTATCAAAGTTTCATGTTAAAATATATAATTATTATCAAAACATTTGTAGGCCTACATCAGCAACCTGAAAGTGTTAGTTTTGTTCATTTCAACTGTGTTATTACGGACATGATTGACTTCGGGTTCGATGGGTCACATCTGAGTGCTTGACACACAATTTTGGTCATGGGCTAAATAGGTTGTGGAACGGGGACTTATACATCAGAGCAGCATAGCTCAGCCAGCTAAACTGAGGCTAGCCACCAATTTAGCAGAGCATTGTACAAAGCAGGAACATAAAATTCCTAGAGATCACTAAAATCCAAATTTTCTGGCAAAGATTTTCCCTAATAGATGCATGATTTATACAGTGTACAAGAGAGCAGCATAGCTCATTCGGCTAAACTGAAGGTTGCCACAGTTTAGCCGACGAACCTAGCTGTTGCCTTGAAAATGTTATCTTTACCTGCTGGCAAGCTTGTGAAGTTCTTCTATCTCTCTTCGCTTTCGACGTAAATTCTCCATTTCTTCTTCCTCTTCAATTTCATCTGACACCATCACACCACAATGGTATTCAAACAGTTTTGGATAGTCATAGTGGTCGCTTTCACCACTTGTTGGATCCTCATACCACAATATGTCATCTGGTTGAAGCTGAGGATTAACAAGGCATTTAAGCTATTTGAACCCGTATTAAAACCTAGCCGAAAAGCATGCCAAAAAAAAATACATCCCTTCCAAGCAGATTTTTGGATTGCCTCAGGCCATTTCCCCCAATTCACAAACAGGGGTGGTGTTGGAATGTAGGTCCCCAGAGGCCCCATCCAAATTCCTGGTTACTAGAATCATTTTGGTTACTTTAAAATTTCAGTCCATTGAGGCTCTATATCCAAATCTAGGGAAGGAGAGTGGTTTTTGTGGGATGTTTATCCCAAGATTGAACAAGCAACCTTAGGACTGGAAACCACAGATTCTCTACAATGAAAGTGTAAGTTTAATCATATTTATATTAAGTATATCTTTACCTGATTCCAGAAACGAGATCTTGGAAAGTTTTTAGGTGTGATAACTTCTCTTCTCTTTAGGAATAAACTTGAAAAGAAAAATAATAAAAGATATATAAATATATGGGCATGTCATTCCAAAACCAGCATCTATGACAAAAAAAACAACAAAAAAACAAAATCAACTTTTTAATATATCCATATTCTTCACATTAAAATGATGAACAGCTCAAAATTGCCTTTAAATATTTTAGCATTTTAAACTTTTAAAGAAAGTTTTATTGAATCATCAGACAATTTTAATATTTTAAATGCCAAAAATTTAAATTATGCTTGTTCTAAAGATTTAAAAAATTTTTAACTTTTAATGTTTTATATTTAAACAAAAATCATATTGTAAGCATTTTTTTTTTTTTGTAAGGGGACCCCACTCAAGAG